AAAAATATAATCTGTAGCCTTTCAAAATCAAACCTATTTCAGACAAACCCTTTGCTAGGGAAAAGGGTGGTGGTGAAGGGAGGGAGAATGCCCTACCCAGAAATTCTCATCCAGTTAAAATGTAAGTTAAGCCCCTTTGAAATGCTTCAGTGTTTCTTCTGTCTTCTCCCCAGGTACTTGCCATGTTTGTCCCTAACTAGTTTTTCTGAAGGTTGATAGCAATTTCATGGTTACAACCTTTATGATATTCAAGTGTTACAATATACACTTCTGTGTGACCAAAGAGTTAAATATCTTTGAATAATTAAATTTTGGGGGGAGAAAAGAATGATTTCTCCCTATTATGTGAATTTTCCTTTTTTTTCTATTTTTTATGTGAATTTTCAAGCAGAAAATTCTAATAATATAAATAAGAGATGAGGTGAAATACCCAATACATATAACAAGAATTTAAGGAATTCAAGCATGGTGTCCTTTCCTTGTTCAGCATCACTGTTTTGGTATTTTTGTGAACTCTCAAAACCCAAATATCTCCAGATTGGCAAGGGTTGAAACTTCATGCCCCTTTTTTCTTTTTTCTTTTTTTAAAGATAATCCATTACATTCACTATCACCTACAACATTCTCACAGTTCAGAAGAGTTCTATTAAATTTTTTATACACTTTCTTTTTTGATGGCAGTGAGCCCCTTTTGCTGGATATCAGCCCTAGAGGCATGAATTATATATCTATAAATACACTTATAAAACAAAAAGCCAGGCAGCCTTCAGGGCTAAAATAGACCTTTTATATCTCTAATGATCTCTCTAGTTTAAAGAAAAGCACAATCCTGTCAAAAAGGGGTATGTATGCCCGACTTTAAAATGCTAACTTTAAGGAATACAGATAGTTCTTGTCCCAAACTAAAGAAGAATTCTGGGGATGGCATAGGAAGTCTGGGTTTTGATGGATTACAGGTTTTGTTTTTCTCTGCCTGTAAACCTTCATGACTTTGCTTCCATGAATACTTTTGTAGGGTTCTTTGCTTCCATGAATACTTTTGTAGGCAGACACACATAGCTGATCACTGACTTCGTGCTCTCTGGGAAGTGAAGAAAATATTATCAGCTGCCTAAACATTTCTGAGTGTAGTAATTTTTGATTAAATAAACAATAAGCTTTGAATAGCTTCCCACCAAACTAAGTTATTTCTCTTAAAAATCTAACAGTAGGAGAATATGTCACTTCCTCCTCTCAAATGATGTAAGCCTTTGATCCCCCAGGACACCATTATCATCTCAATCTTAAAGATGGATGATATTAAAATTCATTACGCCAACGTATACTCTAATCCCAGGCATGTTTCATGTTTACAGTTATCTAAAATTTTCTACCTATTTTCATTAGAATTCCCATTTGTCATAAGGACCCCCCTGTATCCCAGTTGACTTCATTTTAAACAAAAGGCATTCTTCCCACTTCTTGAGATGCCAGGAAAGAGGGGTTAGGAAAGCTTCTACCACTTTTTGTCTAAAAATCAACATAATTTGGGCTCAGATTTTCCCAACAGAGGAAAATCATTTATCATTTTTTATCACTGCTACCGAGGTTAATAATGAAATGGCAAAGAAAATTGAAGATAGTGGTTCTGAAAGACTTTGTTTTCTAAACTCTGAAATAGTATACCCGTCATTTCGGTTTTAAAATAAGATCTTACCATTTCATTTTGGGACCCACCAGGCTTTTAAAAGCTCTTTATACTTTTTTTTTATTTTTGAGATGGAGTTTTTCTCTTGTTACCCAGGCTGGAGTGCAATGGCGTGATCTCAGCTCACCACAATCTCCACCTCCTGGGTTCAGGCAATTCTGCCTCAGCCTCCTGAGTAGCTGGGATTACAGGCACGCACCACCATGCCCAGCTAATTTTTTGTATTTTTAATAGAGATGGGGTTTCACCACGTTGACCAGGATGGCCTCGATCTCTTGACCTCGTGATCCACCCGCCTTGGCCTCCCAAAGTGCTGTGATTACAGGCGTGAGCCACCGCGCCCGACCACCAGAAGCTCTTTATAAAGTAACAAGCCTCAGCACCCTCTTACTCTACAGTTATAAAAAGTGTGGCTACTCTTTTTTACTCTAAGATACTTGCATTAGTGTGTTAAGTGTGAGGGAGATAGCAAAGGAAAATTAAGTAATTCAACTGCAGAATGAGCAGTTTGCAGATTTTGAAACAATAAGTACACTGTGGAAGCTTTAGCTAGTATTGAAAAGAGAAAACAAACTAAAAAAAAAACCCAAAAAGGCAAATTTAAGACTCCAGTTGGGTGTCACAGATAGTACACAAAAACTGCAACTGAATGCCACTCTATCATCATGAAGATGGTGATCTTAATCCCACTTAAAGGGACACTAGACTCTTACCGACAATTTGCCATTATATATAAACTATTTGTCCCAGGACTTTGCTACCCAAGATACTGTTATTCCTTGTCCTTTAATCCATATTCTTCTTTGTTTACTCTACATGGGGTAGATTTGTCATTGCTGTAAGGAACAAATAACCTGGTGTTTGTGTCAGAAAAGAACACACATGTTAAACCATTGTTACTGATAAGTTAAAAAAAGAAATCCTGCCTTGTCCTCTGAAGGTAAGTAAAATCGTTCCTGAGAAATCTGCAAGGAAGCTTTAGAAAGAGTCCATGGGCCTTCACTTCCTCTCTCTCATCGCTGCTCTCCTATTACTCAAACATTGCCCTCTTTCATCTATTACCTCATATCTACCACGTGGGGCCCCCCTAGCAGAAGAAGAATAAAAAAGTTTGCTCAGAGTTAGTTTTAGGACTGGCTTACCTTTAGGGAACTGCACTCCAAATCCCATTTATAAAAACTAGCAAAAGTGTGTAAATTATGCATTAAATAAGTTGCAAGGCATATGAATTATATATGTTCACAGTGTAAAAAAAAAATTTGTGTATGCTGGTCCAGTACAGCAAGTCTGAATCTTTGGCAAACCTGCAAAGATCATTTAGCTCAATAGTTTCACATTCTGAGCACTAGAATAGAGGCTCAGGTTTAGAGCGCATACTATAAAGTCATCTTGAGAATCTCAAAAGGTGTTTTCTTTTTTTAATTTCATAGTAAAGTTATCACAGAGGCCAGAGATGGCAGTACAACATTCTGTTGTCCCTTCCCTTCCAAATGATACACATTGTATACTTTATCAGCTCCCTCCCAAACTTAGTTTCTTTCTGCAGAACACAACTGTTACTGGCTAAACAGGGGAGAATAAAGGCTTCTGACATGGGCACCAGCTGTTCTCAGTGCTTTGAAGGTAGGCATTAGCTTTCTTCTCAGGAAGCTCTTCTCTTAGCATACCTGAAACCTGGACAATTTGGATGCACAGGAAGCTTTCCACACCTTGCATCAGTGTTTCAAGATGCAAGGTGTGGAAAGCTTGTATCTTCAGACATTTCCTGGGCATCCACAGGGAAGGTTTTAATTTGTGAATCGATCTTCATAAGAAAAATCCTGGAAAACTGTAGGCTCAAAGGCTTATTCGCTTGGAGTGCCCCTAGAACTCTGGTACTGAATCACCTCTTTGTCTGGCTTTGTTACTGATGAGGTGGGTACCTCAGCTTTAGTCCTATCTGTTAACAGCTACTCAAACACTGACTATACCACCACGGCAAAGTTATTACCAAGGGCAAGATACACAGTACATGGTACCAGCTGACAGCCCAATGGGTCAGCTCAGAAAGAGGCCTTCAACTATAAAGTCACATTATTATCTCAACTTTCTGACTGACTGGGGCAGGGAAACATTCACACCATCCCTGCGAGTGGATTTTTTTAAGTGATAGTTGGAATGTGTTTTTCTGGAATAAATTCAATAGAGACATGCACTATAACTTAAGATTCTTCCTCTTCTTGGAAAGTAACATTATAAAGAGACACTGAAGAGAGATCGATTATCTTACTGACATAAAAGCATAGCAATCTTGGCCTTACAGCCAGGTGAGCAACCACTACTGCAGAATATTTGTGGTACCCATCATCTGCAAGTCCCTGTGACTTAATGAACTATTCAGAGCCTTCTTTGCTGACTTAGTCCACATAATTTTAAGCACAGTAACAAGGGTCTATGGGTAAACCAATACATTTTTGCCACACTAATTAGGAAGCACTGATTTTAAAAACTCACTTTGCTAAGTCGACATTTCTGAGTCTAAAAGTTTCGAGTCATGGATTTCTAGGCTGGTTGTTTTGAAAAATCTAGCTTCCAGTTCAGCATATATTGCATCTAGCCTGAAAGCAATGCATAAACATATTGAAGAATACAAGGCAAGTTATCATTTAACAGTCAGGAGAATTTCTGGAAAAGCACAGTCAAAATGGATTTGTTAGATGAACATTTTTAACTTCTAAATCCATGTCACTCAGCTGAGAGTAAATGAGGACTGTGATTCCTAAGTGTGAAATAAAAGGAGGTAACTTAAGAAAACACAAAGGACAGAATCTTTTATGTTTCTTGATCTTGGTCTCAATAAGATGGTGAATAGGTCATTCTCATCCTCATGGGAGCAAATGAGTAGAAACCCAAGAAGGCAATAAAGAAATCTTACATGCATATTAATAAATTCATCACTTAAGCACACCATGTGTGCATGTACTCACACATACCAATTTTGATAGCCAGCCAATATTTATAACAATATAATTGATTGAATGTCATCAGCACATAAGCAGATCCTGGAAAGAACATATACAGTTGAATTCTATCTAAATAATTACTTGAGAGTATCTTCAAAATCTAAACCCCTGATCTAGGGATTTCAGGTTTGGGTGGCAAGAGGCATATAAAAGGCTCTAAACCTGCCTAGAATGATTAGACTACATCCAGAAAAGATCCCGATCATTCTATTATGATTTCTGAGGCATACGCTATGAACTACACTGGTTGAGTGACTGATTTGTGTTTACAAGTATACTAACTCTGTTTTTCTTTTTCTTTTCAATCCCAGGAGGTGAATTAGTTATCCCTCTTCTTGTAGAAGACCCTTTAGCTACCCCTCCTATTGCTACTCGTGCACCTTCCATTACACTTCCCCCTACCTTTCGCCCCCTCCTCACCATTATTCAGACCACCAAAGATTCCCTGTCCATGACCTCTGAGGCGGGGTTACCTTGCTTGTCGGACCAAGGCAGCGATGGTTGTGATGATGATGGCTTGGTGATATCTGGGTATGGCTCAGGGGAAACCTTTGACTCTAACCTGCCCCCTACTGATGATGAAGATTTTTACACCACCTTCTCCTTGGTAACAGATAAGAGTCTTTCCACTTCAATCTTCGAAGGTGGCTACAAAGCACATGCGCCCAAGTGGGAATCCAAGGACTTTAGACCTAACAAAGTCTCCGAAACTAGTAGGACTACTACCACATCTTTATCCCCTGAGCTGATCCGCTTCACAGCTTCCTCCTCGTCTGGGATGGTGCCCAAATTGCCAGCTGGCAAAATGAATAACCGTGATCTCAAACCCCAGCCTGATCTAGTGTTGCTTCCGTTGCCCACTGCCTATGAGCTAGACAGCACCAAACTGAAGAGCCCACTAATTACTTCCCCCATGTTCCGTAATGTGCCCACAGCAAACCCCACGGAGCCGGGAATCAGACGGGTTCCGGGGGCCTCAGAGGTGATCCGGGAGTCGAGCAGCACAACAGGGATGGTCGTCGGCATTGTGGCTGCTGCCGCCCTCTGCATCTTGATCCTCCTGTACGCCATGTACAAGTACAGGAACAGGGACGAGGGGTCCTACCAAGTGGACGAGACGCGGAACTACATCAGCAACTCCGCCCAGAGCAACGGCACGCTCATGAAGGAGAAGCAGCAGAGCTCGAAGAGCGGCCACAAGAAACAGAAAAACAAGGACAGGGAGTATTACGTGTAAAAACACGCGAACACTGCTCACACGTGCGTTTCACAGTTACGTCTATCCTCGCCTATGAATCTTTGGACGGTGAGATCTCACAGAGGTCAGAACTGCTGGAACTATGAAATGGGGTGTCTACCACGACTCTGGTGGGGAAAACCATTTTTTTTAAAGGACACACACACTCACACACAGTGATGCATCTCCCTCTAAAACTCGGCCACGGCCCGCGGCGAGGTGCCAGCGGTCGCTGGGACACAGACGGTCTCGTGCCCTTGCTGTATCATAAGCACACACTTAGCACTCTGGAGCCGGCAGGTGGCTCCCCCACTTCCGCAGGCCTGGAAGCTTCCTTCTCCGGAGGACCTTTTACTAAAAGGTAGAAGACTTCATGGCTTACTTGTTCCATAACTCCAAGTGAGTCTGTAATGATGTTTGTGAAGCTTGACTGTAACCATGTTTTTTCGGTTTAATTATGTAAAAAACAAAACCACCACCACAACAAAAAAAAGAAAAAAGTTAAAAAAAAACACCAAAAAAAAAAAACAAAAAACAGACCAAAAAAAAAAAAAAAAAAAAAAAAAAACAAACCCACAACCCTTATCTGGTTCTAACCAGTGTGCGTGTAATAAGATCTGAGGGGAAATATGGCTTTTGGGTTTTTGTTTATTTTTTTTGATAATGATTGGACATCAGAAGAGGAAAAAAAAAACTCGGAAAACAAAAGCGAGAGAGACTATTGCCATATGAACTCAAAAGCTACCATGGTGTTCACTCTACATATCAGGTTATGGTGTCTCTAGGATCTGTTGTTTGTTTCCTGTAAGATGCTTTGCTGAACACATAGCAAAATTCATGTGATGGATGGTAATGTTGATTCGAAAAGCTGGTTCCCCAGGATCTAATTTCAGAATTTACCACCCGAACCCTGAACAGACAGGTTTAGGGCTGGTGTTATCAGAGCTATTGGCTTTACTTAACAATATTGTATTTGTCCATTCACCCAGCCAAACTGTGTTAAAGAGGAAAGCCCCACAAACTAAAACAGCCTTTCTAGGGAAGAGGAAGGGGAGGTGGGCTGGATCTGTAACTGATTGAAGTGCATGCAAATAAAAAAGACAATACTAAAGTCTGTTGAATAATCAAACCAGACAGTAGGGGAGTTCAACTTGCGATGGAAACACGAAAGGTCACACAAGCCAAACACATCATGCCAGAGTACGAAACACATAGTTCTTTCCCTGCCCCGAACATGACAATGGTTTTCATAGTGGTTTAATTTTGCAGCCTGACATTTATGGATAACTCTGTCCTTCCATTTGCTCACTTCTCCCTTCACCCATCTTTTTTAAAAACAAATAATAAATGAATAAAGCTGCTGTGACACACACAAAAAAAAGGAATTTAATAGTATAATATATATATAAATAAATATATATGCAGATATATTTATCATGGTATGTTTGATGGGATGACTGACACAGGAAATCTGTTAAAGTCTTGAAGTGGAATGAGAATGTTGTTTTAGAAGAAAATAACAAAACAACAAAAAAGCAAACCTTAAAATGTGAAGAAAGCGTGAGTTTTAGTTTTGTCACAGTTAACTGTGTCAAAGAGAATTAAAACAAACTTCAGATTTTGTTTACATATTTTACTACATTTTTGCTGGTATAATTCCTTAGCCACCTATGTACATACTGCTTTAAAAACTGGTTTTATTTTTTCCTGTTTATTTCTGTTTGGTTTATATTCTGGTTGTCTTTTTCTTTTTGTAAAGAGGAAACAATGTACAGAAAAACAATAAACTGGTTGTATGGCCATAGCTATCCAAAAGCAAGAGACAAAGCAAGACAAATATCCACACAAAAATGAAGTGTGTCCTCTGGAGGGTCAGAGATATACAATTTCTTTTGTACAGATGAAAATCAATCAGCCGTTTAGATTTAGAAATCTACTCTTGCTGGTCTTTGTAAGTTGCATGAATATTTGACTTTGAAAAAATATCTTAAAGACACGGGGCAAAAAGCGCCATCTAAATGGTAGCCTTTACTAATGTGTATGGAAAGAGGTGTTCCTCATTATCTAATATTTCAATGTGTTAAGAGTTTGATTTTTTTTGTTATCATTAAAAAAGACAGGATTATAAAGAGATATCAAAGCACGATTTTAGATAACCTAAATGGCCCAGCCTATATAAAGTTGATTATATCTCGATGTCTGTAAAAGATTGCTGTTCTTGGCGTCTTGAGGTCTTGTGAACTGATTTCCTGCTTTCTTTCATTTTTCACATTTGAGTAAAAATACATTTGTTATATTCCTTTTAGTGTAAGTTTCTATTTGGACAATTTTATGGGAACATGTGCATTCTGTATGTGAGCTTCTATCATATTCCTGTTTTATTAGCAAAACCTAAAGGAATTTATTTTATGATGTTGTGACATTACTGCTTTTTCTTTTTTCTTTTCTCTTTTATTTCATATTTGCATTTTCGTTCAAGGATATGCTTAGCAATAAAATGTTCTTCCCAAAACCTGGTATGATGGTGTACTTTTATTTTCTTAACATTTGGGAAAATATCTCACACTGGAGCTAAAAGTATGTCATATTTTATTAAAAGCTGAATAAGAGCGAGACCACTTTCATGTGATAGAAAATATTCTAGGCAGTTACTAATTATTACATTAAGTTATCAAAAATGGTATATTTATGAGATAATCATCATCTGTTACTTAAGACATCATTGTTTAGATTGCTATGATAGAATAACCAGGAACGAGTGCATTTTCCTGAAAAGATGATAGAAACATTATATTCTGGAAAAGATTATTGGATACTATGTTTTTAAAAAGTATTTGGTACCTTTTACATTTTTTCTATAAATCAACAAGCTTTAAACAATATTTCAAACTATGTTCACTTGGTGGCATAAGCACTAGAAAGCCTTAGATGTTTTCTTGCCAAGCCTCCCATCATATTAAAATATAAAATCAAAAACCAAAATTTAAATCGGTGCTTGAATTTTAACAGCTTCTTACCAGAATTTCTGATTACAAATTGTTTCATACACTCATTATAGCAGAAATGTCTTATATTTCTGATTCTCTTAGCACACACTTACTTGGCCAACTGGGTAATCCATCATATTCCCTATATTCTTCACTGTGATCTAGAAAGTAAATAGCTGTCCTTTATTCCTATGTTGGTTACCAGTTTCCAAAGAGTTAGAATTTAAAAAATTTTTACTTTTAAAGGATAAGCCTGTGCCTTCAAGATACCATTAGTAGAATGATTATACTATCAACTATCTTAGGAACGGAGAAAAAAAGATAGGTTCACTGATGTCAAATTATGGAAAGTTTTTGTTCCTGTCTTCAAAGTTCTTCAAAATTAGACTTTCTCCCATAATTTTTTGAGATGGAATCTTGCAGCCTACAGTACACTGGCATGATCTTGGCTCATTGCAATCTCTACCTCCCAAGTTCAAGCAATTCTCCTGCCTTAGCCTCCTGAGTAGCTGGGACTATAGGCATGTGCCACCACGCCCAGCCAATTTTTTAGTTTTTTTTTAATTTTTAGTAGGGAAGGGTTTCACCATGTTGGCAAGGCTGGTCTCAAACTCCTGACTTCAAGTGATCCACCTACCTTGGCCTCCCAAAATGCTGGGTTTGCAGGTGTCAGCCACTGTGCCTAGCCTACTCTCAGAATCTTTCTAAGTCTCACTATTTAATATATAATTCTAGGATTACTTTAAGCATTCACTTTTTCTATGATTCAAGAAACATTTATTGAACACTTATGTGCAAGCTCGTCTCCTATTGGCTATTGTTATTTTGTTTCTATGAAGACAGAAAATGGCTAGAAGAATTGTAAACCCTTTTTGTCTCTTGTACAGATCTATACAGGCCCAGCCTCTCTTTGCCCATATTCAAACTGAAGTTTGGTCTTTATCCAAAAAATACCCAAGCCCTGTGTTTGTCCCAGTTGAACTAATATCTTAATTATATAGTTTAAGGTCAGTTTGATAATGTCTATTGAATGTTTATTAAATTTTGGTATTTTAAATTGAGACCCTTAGGAGCTTATAATCTAGTAAAGAGGCACAAATAATGATACTACAGTGAAGGCAAATTAGCTATCAAAACGTACAAACTAAGTTCTTAGGGAGCTTAGAAGACATTATGTAAAGGAAGGTTTAATAGAAGGGGTGATATGTTTGGTAAACCTTGGAAAACTGATAGGCAGAAATAAGGCCTGTATGTCATTCTAAGCAAAGCCTTGAATAGGGAGCAACCAGGATGAAAACCAATTTGGATTCGTGACAGACTGCAAAAAGTGCATTGGAGGAAGATATGAGCAGAAAGGTTTTTGAAATCATGTCAATGAATGGGAAGGAGAGAGAAATGGGAGAATAGCTCAAGAAGGTCAAGGTCAAGGGCTTGTTTGTCATCGAGTACAAAGGACTCAAGCATATTTGAAGTGAAAGGTAATAATTGATCTACTCTTAGTGAAGTTGAAACATGATGGAGCAACTGAGTTTCCTGGTAGAGATGTTATTCTGAAAAAAAAAAAAAAAAAAAGGTCGGTGGGGGTGGGGAGATGTAAGTCAATCTTCTTGGAGAGAATGAGATCAGAAACTGACATATTGCTATAGAAGTTGCAAAAGCTATAGGAAAAGGGCCTCAATGTTCTGGATATATTAAGGGACAAGGTCAGATACCCAAGTGGGACCTGAGTAACAATGGCGGAAGTCCACTGACAGCACTGATAGGAAGGCTGCTAATAAAAGGACCTCTAAGTATCAGTCAGGAGTCAGTTGGCATTAATAATACAACTTTAAATCTGTACTATATTTTTTCTTTTGTTGTTGAAATAGTGAGGGCAAGTATTTTTCTAATTGTGTTTATTACAAAGAAAACAGACCTGGCCATGTGTGGCCACTCACGCCTATAATCCCAGCACTTTGGGAGACCGAGGTTGGTAGATCACCTAGATCAAGAGTTCAAGATCAGCCTGGCCAATATGGTAAAATCCTGTCTCAACTAAAAATGCAAAAATTAGCCAGGTGTGGTGGCCCGCACCTATAATCCAGCTACTCAGGAGGCTGAGGCAGGAGAATTGCTCCAACCCGGGAGGCAGAGATTGCAGTGAGCCAAGATCAGTCACATCACTGCATTCCAGCCTATGTGACAGAGTGACACTCCATCTCAATAAACGAAAACGAACCCAAAGAACTTAAATGACTTCTCCAAGGTCACACACCTAATATGTGACAAAGTCTTAAAATCCATTCTCGTGGTTCTGAATTGAGAGCTCTCTTTGGTAATTCTGCCTCTATAGAAGCAAGTCATTTTCTACTTTTTCCAGAAGCATTTGAAGTGGAAGCTAAGGCAGAAAATGATAGGATGGTTTGTTAGTCTACTGGAATTAGCATGACAAAATACCACAGGATGGGTAAACAACCGAAATGTGTTTCTCACCATTATGGAAAGGAAATTGCAGATCAAAGTTCTTTAGGGCTCAGCTTCTCGTAAGGGCTCTCTTCCTGGCTAGTAGACAGCTACCTTCTCAGTATGTACTCACAGGGCCTTTCTTCTGTTCATGCCCTGAGAGGGGGATTTCTTTTTCTTGCTCTTCTTCTATGACCACCGACGCTATTGGTTAAAGCCCTGCCATTATGACTCGGTTTAACCTTAGTTACTTCCTAGAGACACTATCTCCCAGTATAGTCATGTTTGGGGTTAAAACTTCAACATATGAATGTTGGAGGGGATATGGTTCTATTTCTAGCAAATGAACAGTATTGGGAATTGATAAGGTGAAAGTTTTAAAAGATCAAGGGAAGCAAAGAATTGGGAAGCAACTTTAACCTTTTTGAAGTAAGTGGAAGAGCAAATAAATCCATGGGAGACCAAGCCACAGAGCAGGGTAGGATTACGTGAGTAGGGCCCAGATAGGAGAGCAGGGTTAGGGTTGCCTAAGAGTGAGGTCATGTAAGACAGCAGCAGCTAAATGCATGCTCAGATCTCAGAGATGTGTTAAATGAGTAGAGTGAATTTTAAGAAGTCTGATTTTTTTTTAATGGTTACATGGGTTCTAGCGTCAAAATATCATGGCTCATCTGGTATGTAACTTTAGATAAACTACTTAGCTAAGGCTTAGCTTTCATATCTATTATTTTATTATACCTGTCTTGCAGGTTTCTTAAGAAATATTAGATGAAATAATTCATGTGAAATACTTAGCATATGTGTGACACACAATAAACCTTAAATAAATGTTGGTCATTATTACAATTGGCTTTGTCATTTCATTCAGGCAGGACCAAAATTAGCTGCTATATGCATGATGAACCAGCACCAAAAAGTGAATAAAATTATGAAAGTTTGGCAATCACTCTTAGTATTTCTCCAATTCTTTTATTTGTCAAGACAATATAAAATTTAGTTGCTGGCTCATTAGCAAAGATTTTCCTTCATCAGCCCTAGTTCTTTGTTTCCAGCTTCCAGCGTCCAGGGAAGCCTTGCATCCCGGGATTGTCACTCCTTTCTTGAATTCCCATCCTTTGGCTTTCTTGTGGCTTCTGGTCAGTCAAATACCTCAGATAACCTTGCACTCTTTTACTGATATGCATTATTTTGTTTTCAACTTTTTATTCTGTATATAAAAATATTTGTATATTTATTATTTACAAATATAATAACAAACCCAATTTATCTATCACTTAGTTTCAAGATCTATCAATATTTGCTACTCTTATCTGTGCTCACCTCCCTATGAAAGGGTGTCTTTTAATACCGCACAATGTTATGAAACAAACAAAAAAAATCCAAAGAGTTACTGTGGGGCCTTTTGACCTGAGTCTTATTTAGTGTGTTTCAGTGTACCTAAGCCTGATGTTCTTTCTGATGGACAATTAATGGCGTGATTCCAGTTCTTTATTCAATGACAACAAAAAAAGAGATTAGCTGCTAAGGAGACTCTTCATCATTTAATGAGATTGCCTGAAAACTGAAAAGATTTTTTCCACTTGTTTGTATTTCAATTCAACTGTGCTCAATCACCTTTTGAAATGAATAAAAAGCAGTCTACAGGTTATATATTGCTGCTCTATCTTTTGTTAAAGGTGCCATTGTGGAAGAGAATCTGCGCTCTTTCAAGAGGGTGAGTGAAAGGGAAGACTACTAATTCGTACCTGTAGAAGCTTAGAAATCCCTTTTCCTCTAAAGACACGATCACAGATCTACTAGCGTATTTTAATAGGGTTATATTCATGTCGTTTCAATAGCTGTAACTACACTGAATTTCCTCTATGTAGAGGAGCTATGCCTTAATCACATTTTCAAGTTATGATTTTTTTACTGCTCCGTTGTCTGTTGACAATGATTTTCTTCTTTGTTCTCACTCATTTGCCATTTTTGACCTAGAATTTTCATCATAAAAATATCATGAGAGAGTCAGAGTCACAGAGTTCTATATGGACTATTTGATAGTACATTCTTTTCTACCACAAAATCAACATGTTAGGATGAA